CTACTACGGGTCGGAAAGTTTACATGGGAAACTCCTCCACGTCTGTTGTGGCTGGAGTTGGCACTGTGGTGCTGAAGCTAACTTCTGGAAAGGAGTTAAAGCTTAAGGATGGTCTGCATGTCCAAGACATCCGCAAGAATTTGGTCTCCGGATCTCTTCTTGTTGAGCATGGATTTAGGCTGGTGTTTGATGCTAAGAAGTTTGTTCTTAGCAAGTTTTGAATATTCCTTGGTCGTGGCTATCTCGACAAGGGTTTGTTCAAAATGAATGTAATGGCCGTGAGCCGTGTAACCGTTGATAATGAAAAACCTATTTCTGTTTATAACGTTGAGTGCTCTGATTTATGGCATATTAGATTGGGACATGTAAATCTAAATGCAATTAAACGGTTGATGAATTTAGAATTAATTCCTAATTCTAAAATTGAATCATATAAAAAATGTGAAATATGTGTTGAAGCAAAAATGGCTAAGTTGCCTTTTCACTCGGTGGAAAGGAGTACTGAACCATTAGGCTTGATCCATACTGATGTATGTGATATGAAAAGTGTGCAAACAAGAACCGGTAAAAAGTATTTTGTAACTTTTATCGATGATTGCACAAGGTTTTGCTACTTATATTTGTTAAGAAGCAAAGACGAGGCTGTAGAAGCGTTTAAAATCTATAAGACCGAAGTTGAAAATCAACTCGGCAAAAGGATTAAAATAATCCGAAGTGATAGGGGTGGGGAGTATGTAGCTCCTTTTGAACAAATATGTTCTGAATATGGCATAATTCATCAAACAACGGCCCTTTATTCTCCACAGTCGAACGGTGTTGCTGAACGCAAGAACCGTACGTTAAAAGAAATGATGAATGCCATGTTGATAAATTCGGGACTACCCCAAAACATGTGGGGGGAAGCTATTTTAACAGCAAATCATATCCTGAATAAAATACCACCTAAAGGGAAAGATAAGTCTCCTTACGAAATGTGGAAAAATCATAAGGCGTCTTATAAATACCTGAAAGTGTGGGGGTGTTTGGCTAAGGTTTCAGTTCCTGAACCCAAACAAATGAGAATCGGGCCAAAGACGGTCGATTGTGTATTTATTGGATATGCGTACAATAGTATGACATATAGATTTCTGGTTCATAAATCAGAAAATCTAGAGGTATCTGTGGGTACCACGATTGTGTCGAGGAATGCTATATTTTTTGAGAATATTTTTCCTCTGAAGGAAAGAGCATAATCTAGTTCTAATAAACGAACATATGAAACTGCTAATGGTTCTGTACCAGATGGTACTGATGAAGAACCAAGACGTAGTAAAAGGGTAAAAATAGCGAAAACGTTGGACCTGATTTTATTACGTATATGTTGGACGATGAACCAAGTACCATTAAGGAAGCTCTGTCCAGCCCAGGTGGACCACTCTGGGAAGAAGCTGTTAATAGCGAAATCGAGTCCATTATGAAAAACCATACTTGGGAGTTTGTTGATCTCCCTGATGGTTGTAAACCTTTAGGATGTAAATGGATCCTAAAGAAGAAATATAAAGATGATGGATCGATTGATAAGTTTAAAGCACGATTGGTGGTAAAAGGTTTTAAACAAAAAGAAGGGTATGATTTCTTTGATACCTATTCACTAGTTACGCGTTTAGCGTCGATAAGAGTGCTTCTCTCGATTGCTGCTTTGCACAATCTTGAGATTCACCAAATGGATGTCAAGACGGCATTTTTGAATGGTGAATTGGAAGAAGAAATATACATGGAACAACCTGAAGGGTTTGTTGCACCTGGACAAGAGAGAAAGGTGTGTAGATTGATCAAATCATTGTACGGACTGAAACAAGCTCCGAAACAATGGCATTTGAAATTTGATGAAGTGATGTTGTCAAATGAGTTCAAAATCAACGAATGTGACAAATGTGTTTATGTCAAGGGTACATCAAATACATTTGTGATTGTATGTCTATATGTAGACAATATGTTGATCATGGGGAGTAGCCATGAAGTGATCACGGATACGAAAAGAATGTTGAAAAGAAATTTCGACATGAAAGATATGGGTTTGGCTAATGTTATTCTTGGAATAAGGATTATCAGAACCCAAGATGAAATTGTCTTGTCACAATCTCATTATGTAGAAAAAGTGCTCAAGAAATTTGATACCTATGACGACACACAGTCTAGGTGTAAGACACCCATTGATCTTAGTATAAATCTGGTAGCTAATAAAGGTCAACCAGTGGATCAGTTGGAATATTCACGGATAATAGGGAGTCTGATGTACTTGACGAATTGTACACGACCAGACTTGGCCTACCCGGTGAATAAGTTGAGCAGATTTACGAGCAATCCCAGTCATGAACACTGGAATGCTTTGAGAAGGGTATTTAAGTACTTGAGGTACACCCTTGAATACGGGCTAAAATACTCGAGATATCCAGTCGTACTTGAAGGGTACTGTGATGCAAGCTGGATATCAGATTCGAGAGATTCTCGCTCCACTAGCGGATATGTATTCTGTATTGGAGGAGGTGAAGTTTCGTGGAAATCCACAAAACAAACGTGTATAGCTCGGTCAACGATGGAATCGGAGTTCATCGCGTTAGATAAAGCTGGTGAAGAAGCCGAGTGGCTTAGAAATTTTTTATCTGATATTCCATGTTGGAATAAGACTTTGCCGCCTGTGATGATTCACTATGATAGCCAAGCTGCTATAGGTAGGGCGCAAAGCAACTTGTATAACGGTAAGTATAGACATATTCGTCCTAGACATAATACCGTACGCCAATTGATCTCAAATGGTGTTATTTCCATTGACTATGTGAAGTCTAAGGAAAATTTGGCTGATCCTTTGACGAAAGGATTAAATAGAGATCAATTGGTAGTTCTGCCAGAGGGAATGGGCTTAAAAATCCACAATGTAAAGATTGATCATAGTGGTAACCCTACCATGTTGAGTGGAGATCCCACGAACTTGGTTCAAAGGGAAAACTAAGCTATGAAAATTCAGTTGAGCACTTGGAATATATGAATGTCCAAAGCTATTCCCTAGAGCAATCCAAGTGAAAGATGACCTGTTGATTGTGGTGAGGGTAAGTCATATGGACTTTTAATGAATCCCTAACCTTGTAAAGGTGGAGTATAACAGGATACTCTTGATAGGGAGGTCACCTATATAAGTGTGAAGTATGGGCCGCTTCAAATGTAGACACTTATGAATCCATTGTGTTGTCCATGGCCAAAACGGACACAACGTTTGAACAGAATGGAGTGAAAAACTCTATTGTGTAAATGTCATTGTCTCGATGTACACTACGGAGGAATAGTTCAAAGCATCATGTCCACTAGTCAGCCAGTGCATCCGATGATGTTTACAAAGAAAGGTTCAAAGCCCAAAGCTACCTTTTCTGATGCAATAGAGTTTTGCGAGGATTGAACACAATAGTATACATATATTTAATTTACACTAATGTGGGGGATTGTTAGTCAAATGAGTGTATATTTAATTATGTCAGGTTTTGTTTTCTTTTCTCAACCTTCCTAACCATTTCCTAATTTTCCCAACCAAACGTCTTATTTTCTTAAACCACCTCAACCACACAACACCAATTCCAACCATACCCAACCAATCAACAACAAATTGGGCTAACATCATTCTATAAATTGGGAGAGGAGGTCTCGGCAGAAAGGAGAAGAAAAGGGAAAAGAAGAAAGAAAGGAAAGAGAGCAAATAAATAAAAAAAAATAATAATAATAGTGAGAAAAAGTATAGAAAAATTATCATATAGATAATCTTATTTCTATTTTTAAGTGCTCAATTCTCGACTTCGATCCAGTTCGTCGGAGCTCGTAAATCTGGTGTGCTACAGATTTAGAGACGTTTGCCGTTGTATCTTTGGGGAAGTTACGCCGAAACCGTTAGCTGCCACACGGGGCGTATTCTTCTTGCGGAAAGAGTTTACTCGCCTCGGCTAAGATCTTTCTAATTTTTTTCAGTTGTAATTTATTTTTCAGTTCAATTGTAATTTTATATTTTTAGATTATTTGTAAGAACTGAAAAAAGAAAATACATATCAGTTCGTAGGATTCCCGTGTAATTTTTATACCCGATTAAAACAAAAACAACACTTACTTCTTCATAAGTTTTTCCTTTAGCTCTCAAAAGCACCAAAAACGCGCTAATCAAAGCCTCATCGGCACCGTCCAACAAGAAATCAAGAGAGGCCTCAGCTTCATCTCCAAACAAATCCACCCCGCTTATTAATGTCTCTATCAACTACAGCCCACCACAAAAATAATTGAAAAACTAAGAAAAAACAAACGAAAACAGAAAAAACAAATAATCAAGAATCGCTTTTTGTCTTTTAACCTGATTGAAGGAGGAGTGTACGGGAGACACATGGGTTCTTGAATTTTGCACAGCATAATGCAAAAAGGTCGAAACTTTGCTAAACGGACAACGAGAAAATGGGCTGATTAACTTACATCTTGGCAACAAATGGTGATAATCAACAGCGGGTAAATACTGAACTCGAGGCGAACAAAGAGAAAGTGGGTTCTGCAAAAAAGCTGACATTTTTTCTTGTTAAGGTGACACGAAACTGTTGAAGACGATTTTAATGTCGTACTTTCGATTTTAAAGTATAGCAATAAATTAAAGGCTAATTATTTTAGATTAGAGTTTAATTAGTTGATTGAAAATTTCAACTAGATTGGTACAAGTATGGTAGACAAATAAGTTAGTCTATACTTTATAGTTTATTTGATTAATTTATGATAAATTTAGTAAATAAACTAGTTGAAATAAATATTTCAATAAATTTATTTGAAATGTTACCTAAATAAGTTTATGAGATAAGCTTAATTTTAACAA